TAGAGTGTATGCTGACACCCTTCACTTAGTGGGAGGCCCGCATTTCAGCGCTGCGATGACAGCGAGCCATTGAGCTACCGTGGTCCTGTGTCTTGGTCTCGTTCCTTGCTCGGTGGTGGCTAGTGGGCTTGGTATAATACCCATTAGTTTTCTCTAAGTGGTTTGACACACTATGCCTCTCTGATTTTCGCACAGTTTTTCGCATTCCTGCGTGCTTAGGAAGTGGCGGTAGTTCAGGAACTTTTTGCTGTTTTGCATGCCGCTGGCGCTGCAGTCCAGGTAAGGATTATGGGAGCGTGCGTTTGGATAGGAGGAGAAGATTGTATCAAGTTAAGCTACACCTCAACACGTTCTGCTGTTGTGATTCTATACAACGCAGACCTAGTGAGAAATTGACTAACTAGCGTGCTTGTTTGTGTCGAGCCACTCAGGTTCCGTCGTGGGGAGGGGGACAACTAAATTGCGTGCAGCTACATTCTCTGCGCAGCCTGAGCACTCACTGCCCAGTTACACATATCATCCAGCGCACAAGCACGTAACACTCCTCCTTGTTGTACCCAGCTAACATTACCCTGCATTAGATCAGGTACAGGATTAGTCAAACAAATAAGTCCCTTTATTAGTTGTTTTTTGTCAAAGATAAAGTAGGTAGAAGGTATGGAAGTGCAGCATGGCCCGTTGTATCCTGTAAGTGGTGTGAGGTGCTGGGAACCCTCATGCACCTACCCGAGTAATGGGGGACCCCAATGCAGCCAGTTGTGCCTATACGATGATGTATAGCAAGTTTTGTGCAAATATCTCATTAGGCCGCCCCGAGGCTCCTGAACTGGGTGCGATGATGCTCTCTTGAGCTGGAGGACTCATTAGCCATCGTCCTTTCCAGCTGTTTTATAAACTAGGCTTCCGCAGCATTGAGAAATCCCTGCATGCAAACATTGACCGTTGCCTCTGGGATGCGCTTATCCCCTGTTGTACTTCAGTTTTGAAAGAAGGTGCAGTCATTGCATCGTAATCGCGATACGTCGCATGAACAGTCGTGCCGCGAAAGACGCGAAATACGCGCCCCTCTAGGACCTTCGAATCCGGTTCATAAGCGCACTTATCGCATTCACCTATTGAATTCCCCCAGAATGCTTACGGTGAACCCCCACAGTTTCCTTCTAGACCGGAACGAGCTGCTGACTGTGGTAGGAAAGCCATTGAAAGCGATTACTTAAAAAAGATAAACGCAAATACGCAAAGTCGCGTGAAATCGGATTGCTGCGAGAAGTGCACGAGCAGCCAACACTGATCAATCCTTCTTCCTTCGCTTGAGTAGCTGAAGCGAAGGCGTAAACGGCCGGCGCCCTCGAAGACCCGAAAGCCGATGGCTGGCAAAATTGTATCAATGCAACTGCCCTTTGTAGGCAGAGACACCGATGGTGGGTACAAAAATGGGTAGGACAGCATCCAACTTCGCTGCCTTGGCTAAGCACAGTTTTTCCGCTTTTGTCCAGTTTTCTGGATAGTCCATGCACGAAGTGCTTCCCCCCCTCCCCCTGACATTTCCGACCCGTCTTGCAGACGCCACCATCGCGTCTGCATTGCTACACACTCTTGAGGCAGTGTTCCTGTGCGCTTACCAGCAACACTGCGCTTGCTTCGGCAAAAGAGGTCTTCTCTGGACGGTCCACGTGCCCCTGCTTCACGCTCCCACTACAGATCCACGAAGGCGCACGAATCGCAGCGCTGAATGCTTCATGTTGAGGGGGTCACAGCGTCTGCCTTCTCTGGTGCCTGCGGATTCTCAGTTTCTGCAGCGTTCTTAAGGGCCTCGTCTCGCCTGCCACCCACAAACCCAAACAATCCACAATGGAGTTACTGCGCCACGGTTGAAAGTTTCAGCCTGAAGCAGCATAAGAAGCTGCCCAGCAGAGACACCCCCCTAGAGTTGCGCTGAAGACACTCTGCCAGCCCCGGGTTGAGTCAAGAGCTGCCACACGCAGATCTTGAGAGCCTTGTCCCAACCAACAGTCGCCTTTTGCAACTCGGAACAAGGCGCAGTAAGACAGCTGGGAAGGATGCTGCCTCTCCTTATGTCCCTGCTTTGCACCTTGCGTGCCCCCTTCCCAACCACGGAAACAAGCTCTCAAGTTGTAAGCCACAGATCCCACAGGGCAGATCAGATCGCCGCGAATCTTAGGGCAGCAGCACACCCACACTTTGCAACTCGAACACCAGCGCTACTTCTAAATGACCCGAAAGAAATTTTGCTAAGAATTTTCCTCACAAATGAACTGCAACTTCATCAAGGCATCCATCATCAACGACATCGTGAAAAGTCCTCATCTCCCCAACTTTAGTGCCCTCGTCAACACCCGAGTCCTCCAACGGCACCTCCCAGCTGACAGGCCTGCAGCCACAAACGCGATCTAGACAGGATGACGCCTATGGGCTGTTTGTTGCCTCTAGCAAGGAACTACCAGAAAAGGACACCAGACGTTCACTTGCCCTTCAGTCTGCAGCTCGTCACCCTGGTCCTCGTCCTCTTTCGCGCCCCGCTTCTGTTTGCGCTCCCTCATCGCCTTTAGACTTTCGGTCAGATCTGCAAGGAAGCGGGGAGCATGCTCCTCGAGCAGTTTTCGCTCGTGCTGGGACAGAAAAGAAGCACAACAGCAGCGCAACACAATGCAAAACGCGCTGCCACAAGAGGCGCCTTCGTACACCGTGGCCTCTCTCTCAGCTACAGAAAGGAATACCCATTATCAACCTGCTGGAGCACATATAATGCACCATCGATACCCAAAGGGCCAGGCCAGGCCTTGGGCTAGAAGGGCATTCGATCAATCTCATCAAGGCTCGCACATTGTGCGAAGGCTTTGCAGCTGCAAAGGTTGTGTTCGGAGCCTTGCTCTTCTTGAAGGTGCGAAAGAATCGATCAGACAGCCACAGACCCCTCCGCGAAGCGACGAAGCGCCTCGAAAAGCAGCGCTTACGTGGCGCGTCTTGCAATACTTAACAACCCATTTGGTGAGGATCGCCGAATGTTGCGCGTTGCGGCGGCTTAGAGAAATAAGGGCTTGACGGTCTTTGGCATATGCGTACAGCCGGGCCCAGGTTTTGTCTCTCCGCAAGAAACAGCCATTCCCCACAAGCCACAGATTTACTCGGCCCCTGGTCACCGCCACGTTGAGCCGCCTCATATCCCCTAGGAAGCCCACAGTGCCTTTCTTCGCCTCCTTCGTGTCGCTCCGGATGCCGCGCACCGCGGAAAAGATTATGAAGTCCTTCTCTTGCCCCTTAGATCCACATTACACACACACACACGCACATATGTGCATTTACAGGCGCACTTATAGAGGGACTCGCTCAGTGAAGGGCGCATCAACATGAAACACACTCACAGCCCACAATAAGGTGGACACCTACGGCGCGCAACAAGCAGTCAGAAAACCAGAAACGGTTGACAAACTCCCCCACACCACACGGAGGTACCTACAACTATGACACGTACGCCGCGCCCATCGCTCGCGCGCTCAAGCACTTCTTAGAGACACGAATAAAGAGACTTGCGGTCTGCCAAAGTTCCGGTGACGTACCTGAAAGCCGTCCACAGTGTTGACGTCCACTGGACAGGACTTGCCGTCAGATATCCCCAGGAGGGCCTTTATCGTCCGCCGAAGGAGAATCACCTGTTGAGCATACGGGCTGATCACCGCTAAGCGGTGCTCCCACTTGGAGTGACCGCAAGCCAAGAACTGGAGAAAGCGCACCGCAGCAGAAGCACAAATGGCAGATAGTCTTTAACAGAGCTTTGAGCGGCCTCAAGCCGCTCAAAGATGCCCTGTCAGGGGTAACCGGCTTTGCGACGGGAAGAGACAAGGGGCCGTTCTCGTTGAGCAGCCCAATCTGAAGGGTCAGGATGGTGCATATGTCAGGAGAGCGTTTTGAAAGAGTGAGGAAAAACTCTCTCAAAGCATGCGCTCTACGGCGAGCCCTGCGCACCAGGCGACGGAGGAAGTCCACAAGCTGCCGCACGAAGTCTGCTTCGACGTAGTTGACGAGGGACGTATGCTCCTCCTGAACAGCACACAAGCAAGGTCTACCCCTAAGGTCCCTGCTGGCACCAGCCCCTACAAGCTAAATGAGAGCTTTCGGCAAGCCAGCGGTACTCGCTTGTCGAGAAAGAAGAAACGAAGTCCTCCCAGCTCGCGGCAGACACTGCCAGATCATCAGCTGCACAGCGCTGGGGAGTGCCACTGCCACAAAGCGCCTTGCGGTTCCACAGCCGCGCGAGGCCGAGCGTCCTCTCGAAGAGTTGCCCATTCTCCTGCAGCGTTAAGCGGCTCACCATGTGCTCGCTGTCAATATTGAAAAAGACGAGGGGCTGCAGGATAGGCAGGCGGTGCCATGACGGGAACGGCGTCCACAGGCCGCTGGGCAGGTGTGCAGCGTCCCGCAATAGACCCTCATAAAAGGCGATCGAGGCAAAACGCGAGATGGTCGGATGCATTCGGTACTGCTGACTGAGCATATTCGTAGACTGACCGGCACCTTCCAGCCGCTGGAACAGGGACCGATCATAACGCTGCAGCAACCCGCGCACAGGACCATAAAAAGACCAAGTAGGCACGCAACTACACAGACGCGCACGCACAGAAAAACATACACAATACAGAGCGAGAGAGAAAGCGTCCGCTGAAAGGGATGCCCCCTTTTCCCTTCGATGATTCTCCCGTTTATGGCGTGTGCCGTGTGCTACTGTCAGTGCTCCCACTAAATCAGCGATTCCAAGAGCCACGCACTGCAGCCCCTTGGCCGGAAGAAGCGGCGAGGCAGCGCTTCCCAAGGACGCTACAACACGACATACAGGAAATGACGCATCATCAGGGGATGGAAACACCATCCATCGCCTAAAGCGCCTCCACTAAAGAGATGCCTCACCAGCTGAATTGCCACACGCGAGAAAATCGTTGCCGGCAGTTGTTTTGGATCGCCAACCAGAATTAGCCGCCGGCAGCCAAGACGGAGGGGAATGAGGGTGGCCAGCTCCACTGCCTGAGCAGGCACCACACGTGGATACAGCCAAACATGCATGCATGCATGCACATGCACATGCACTTTCGTAGCAAGCACCCGGAAGCGCACGCGCAAAACCATCAAATAGAGGCGGCGCAGGCAAGCTACCCTCGGGATGTTTCTCAAATGCATCGAAGAGTGACTCCCGCCGCTCAGGAGGCTCCATACAAAATTCCTGCAAGCCCTTCCTGGAGGCGCAAGGGCGTAGAGCATTCGCTATTCGCCTTGCACCCTCCCTCGACCTTTCCTCTATGCACATGCAGAAAGCCTGTCTTAAAACTGAGAGTAACAGGGAGTACTCTCCTAACCTGAGAGGCCTCATCGACGACGACCGTGTCGAAGCACTCCGCGAGGGAAGTCAAATCTGTTGAGCCGCAGACGGATATTGTGGCGCACACAATAACGCTTTCCCGCAACACGTCAGCCTTTGCCGCCTGCATGGAAAACCAAGCACAAGTGGAAGGCCGGGGAAAGGATGTACCTTGTCATACGCCTCACAAATAGGCGCAGCCCACAGCAAAAACCGCATAGCTCCCCTTTTGGCAGGTGCGAAAACGTGGCATGAGCTCTGAAAGTCTTTGCTCCTTTTCTGCAAAACAAATGCGCTACCCCGCCAAACCCAATCGACGGAGTAGCACACCGTGCATCAGCAAATGGGCCGTGTGCGACGCCGCTTTCAGTAAGCGAGCGTCCTTGCACGAACGACGGCGCTCCCCAAGCAGCTCATCATCCCTCACAAATTCGCAGCTTACGGCTAGAGCAGCAAAATTCGTGACGCCTCTCGCCTTCAGACGCTGCAGCGCCTTGTACTGTAGACTGTGCTGCAGTAGATCCGGATGGACGTTAGGACCAACACGGACCACCTGCAAGCAGGCATATTTTCGCACAGCGTACGGCAAACACCTACAAAACCAATCCCACCAAAAGCTTTGCTGCAATCTACTCCCTAAAGGCCAAAGCGCCCTCAACCCCCTGCCCCCCCTCCGGCCCCGCCTTCCCCGCCCGCCGGTTGAAACAAGAGAAGAGAGGAATCCATTTGTGCGTGCTTTGCGACTAGAGGCTGCTAGCTACAGAGGCTGACGGACAGCAGGTGAGAAGCGCTCGCCGTTGCCATCAAAGATGCCGCCGCCTGCCTCTGGATCTGCGGTGAGCCGCTTCACGATTTCGTCGATAGCAGCGTTTGACGGCGCGCACACCAGGATGCGGCTGCACCAAAGGCAAACACAAAATAGCGTGACACAGTAGCCCCCGTGAGAAAACGTCTCTGAAGGCACAGCAGCAGCGCTTAAAATTGCATCGGCCGTCTGCGAAGCTTCTAGACGCCGCCGCATGACCGTCGCCGGTGGCGTGCCGCAAAAAAAAGAGGTGACAGAATAGACAGCAAAAAGCGTGCAACACGCAGAAATCCTCAAGCGAAGGGGCAGATCGTTGCTGCAAATGCAGTGTACGTACACCGGCTGCAGCTCGTGGCGCTTTCGCGCAAGACATATAGGGGGTTCCGTCGGCACTGCAGCAGGCTGCAGCATCAATTGGCAATCCAGGTCTTCCAGGGCGACTTCGTCTGCATCCATCCACGCCAAATAGCCCGCTGCACAACAGCGCAACAACAAAGACGCGCGCAGTCTGCATGGTAAGGCGGCGGCAGTGTCCGCAAGCACAACCATCCCTACCCCACCGAGGCTGCAGACGGAAAAGCACGTCTTCGGAATGCGGGGGGGTGAAGGCGGAGAGGGGGCCTCGTTTCAAGGGACGCCTCTAGAAGCCTATTCACGACCTACGTTGGAGCCAAGGGCAACTCTTTGTGCGAGTAGATGACCTCGACGCCGCGGCTCGCAGCCTCTCGCTTTCCTCCGTTTTTGATTCCTCTGCGTGCTCTTTCTGCGGCAGGGCAGCGCAAAGAAACGTCCTCCACAAGGCACTACAGGCAGGGAGGCGCACTGTGAGTGCGCCAGACCTGTCTGGATGATGCCTCCCACTAAAGGACATGGGGGCCCTCAATTCTGCCACAAAGGCGTGTGGCGCATGCGTCTGGCCACGACGAATGAACTCACCCCTTCCTGCGGCGCGAGCTCCGAGATCTGCTGCCCCTGAAGCTGCGCGTGGAGGATAACAGAAACCACCCCAACGATGGTGGAGGTCTTGCCAGTGCCAGGAGGCCCCTGAATGAGCGTGACGCCTTCAACCTTGAGCGAGTCCTCGAGGGCGGCTAGCTGACTGGCGTTGTAGAGGCTCTCGAGACGCGTCCGCAAGGATTCTGGAATGACGAGCCGCCTCTCGGGGTATGGCGCCTCCCCTGAAGCCCCCGAAGAAGGCCTTTGGGTGTCGAGAGATGCCGGAGGCTCCGCAGGAGCCTCGGGCATGGCAGCGCCTACCTGGGGATCTGCAAGCCTCGCATCGGCGTCGACTTGAGCAGACTCTGAGGCTTCCTTGGCGTCTTCGACACCCTCTAGCAGGGGGTTATGCAAGGGTGTCTTCAGTTTGTTTCCGAGGCACTTCCGAGGGGGGGCCCCGCCCTCCGCTGGCACACGGAAAAGACTCGCCTTCAACGGGATATCGGGGAGCGCCATGAGGCCCTGAGAAGCAGTGCAGGCAACCCCACGGCAGCAAGCCACAAGCGCGCGCGCGGCAGCGTAAGCTCTACCGCCTTCGCGGCTCGACGCACGCCTCTGTACAAACAGCGCAGCAGCAGGTGCTACCGAGGCAGGCAGGCAGGGAAGGAAGGAAGGGCCGCTACAGTGGATAGCCCCCCTTCCTTCTCCCTCTCTATGCTCGCATGCGGCCTCACCTGAAACTCCCTATGCAACGTCGTGAGAGACATGAGGCGGTGGACGGTCCAGCTGGTGCTTTGCGCGTTGAGGGCTTTGGCTAGACGGATCATCCTCCGCTTATCCCTAGGCAGCAAATAGCCTTCCGGCCTGCCGGTGACAGGGCTGTAGACTGAGCAGAGGTGCGCGTTCCCCATGCAATCCGCATGCATCGGAGAAGACTGCTGCATGTGACCAAGCGAGGGCGTCAAGACCTTCACAGTTACCGTCTCGTGCTGCCCCTGGGCGACTACACCCAGGACGTGACAGTCTGTGTCTCGCACTCTTAGGGGCCGAGCGCTTGCCAGTGCGGCATCCCTCTCAGCCTCTTCCCCTTCGCTTCCGCCAGCAGCCCCCACCGAATGCTCTTTTTGCCGCTCCCTTGCAATCGGCCCCTCGGTGGCAGCTGCACGCGGACAGGCGCTGGCAGAGCCGTCATCATGAACCGTCTCTTGAGTAGTCATAGTAGTAGTAGACGCCGGAATGTAGAGAAGCACCAAGTCCCCGTGACAGTACTTACACCCCGCGGCAGGAGTCGCAGCCGCACCTCCAGAACGGCTCAACAACAAGGAGAGAAACGGCCCGCTTGGCTCGCCGCTCAGCTGCACCATATAACGCATGCAGGTGACACACACTCGACACACGCCCCAATATCCTCACACATATACAGCACCCCCATATTTGTATTTAGGGTAACATATACACTTATATACACAAATACACGTATATGCACACCCAGGTACATGTGTATACACACCCGTATACATATATATATCAATGCATATATATATATATACGTACACGTATAAATACACATATATATCAATACATATATATACATATGAATACATAATATACATATATATATCAATACATATATGTAAATACATATATATCTACACATATATACACATATATACATAGGATGAAAAGTACAGTGCCCTCTCTCGCTTTTAGCCTATCTTCCTCCCCCAATCAGCACAGGGGCAGGAAGAGGCGCGTACCTGTACAAACTCCTCAGGGGGCCCGAGGTCGAGTTTGATGGCCCTTGCAATCGCTTGCTTGGCCTCTTGGAGGAAAAGAGGCAAGAAGAACCCCACATATTGACGTTCGTTTTTTATGACTGTGGGAATCGCCCGCAAATGGTGGCTTTTTTGAATTTCGCGGTACGACTCGGCAACGCCCTCTCCAGCCGGTTGTGCCTCGTGGGAGATTTGGGATTGTCTTTCTTCCAGCAGCGCTTCCTCTTCTGGATCCTCTTCTTGAAGGACGCCATTAGATGCGCCTGCTTCAGCCTCTGCAACTGAGCTCTCGACTTTTGTATGGGCCTCTTCATCCTTAGGCTCTGCCAAGAGGGCTCTGCTATCCTCCTCCCGCAAGTCCGCGAAGAAGTCGAGGCTTAGGAGCAGCTCATTCAGCGGCTCAACGGAGGGCAGCAAACTGGATCCTTCGATCCGCCGATAGCGTTGGAGCCAAGCGGCTCCAAGCCGCTCAGCCCTTTGTGCCTCCTCCTCCGCACTGGCCTCCTCCACGCGAGCCTCGGATCTCTCGAGGCTGACTCTGTAAGAGGACCCCATGGCGATTCCCAGCTGCCCCCCAAATTCCAGACAGACCATGAGTAGCAATCGTGCGGGGTGCCCTCTTCGCGCTGCAGAACGCGAGGCTTCCTCCCTCTTCGGGGCGTTCAGGGAGCCTGCCGATGCAAGTGCGGTGAAGACGTCCTCCTAGCGAGACATACACCCGTTCCGCCTTCAGGAAGCCCACGCTGAAACTCGATTTGCTCGAAAAAACAGTGGAAGCACCGATCGAGGGGGGCCCCTGGCTGGCTCTCGCACAAAAGACCGTTTGTCACAACCTCGAGGCAGTCGAAGGCCGATGCGCCTGCTGGTTCAGGGGCACACAATACGAGTCTCTTCCCCCCTCGCAGCCTCGAAGAAACACAAATCCTGACGAAGGCTGGCGCGAAGGCCAAGCGTTGCACTGTTACAACGCCAGCACTTCATACCAGGGCCCCCTGGAAGCCCCCTGCTGGTCCCCCCTCCGCCCCCCCGCCCTTTCTTGCCGAATTGAGCCGCATGCACGACGCTGACCACGCCGAACAACACACTCCCGCGCCTCATCTTCAAGCCATCATATGCAGGTCAGAGAATCTTTCCATCCCCCCAACCAGACGACGACCTCGTGGACGACGCCGCTCTCCACCCTGCAACCCCCCACGAAAGCCACGCCATCTGACGGTGTCTGCACGAATTTCGCCGCTCCACTGCGGGGGAATGACGGCCCGCTGAGTTCAACGGAACGCCTATGGACCCCGCGGGTATGGCCACGCCGGTGTCTGTACAGCCCCCGCGAGCAGCAGCTGCTGCTGCCGCAGTGCGGCGTTTGGGCAGCCCTAGCCCGCTGTATGCAGTATCCCTCTCCGTGGCTCTGTCTCGGCTCCTTCGGGTGAAACTCGCCGGCAGAACCGATGCTGACGGCGAAGAGGGCGGCTGCGAGGTCCCCATCGAGCACCCAAGCAGCAAAAGTGAAGATGTTGCTCCTCCTGAAGGGGCTTTTCGGGGATCAGCGGCAAGCCAGACGAGCAGCGCTGCTCATAGCGTCGGCGGGGATCTCGCGGATACCGTCAAGGAGGCACAGGCACGATCGAAGCCGCTGCTGACAGGCCACTTTGTTGTGCAAGTGCGCGCGCACTTCGAGAGGGCCCTCCTCGCGTGTGACGCCGACGCCACAGAGGGAGAAGAAGCTGATACAGCCGACACAGCCAACGCGCGAGAGCTTCCTGAGGAAGAGGAGCAGCTGAGATACCGTGAGGCCCTTACGGAGGCAGCGCTGCTTTGGAGCCTCGTGCTGCTCCTAGCGGCGGAACCAGCGCTGCTTGCGGCACGCGCAGAGGCAAGTAGCGAGCAGGGGTCTTCACCAGCTCTGCATGCGCTTGCATGCAGCTCGCCGCCGCATTTCCGTGGTGGTGGCGTGAAGACAGCGAGCAGCACGGAGGCGGCGATCGACGGATCCTCCCGCGCAGACGTAGACGTAGACACCGTGATGCGAGGTAAGGGGGGCTTGAAGTTTGGCTGGAAAGCAGTTTTCGCTCTCTTCTGTGGCATTCTTAGGCTTGGTAGAACTGGGGGGTTGCGCTCAGTGTCTGCGTCATTCGCGTGCTGCGTTACCCTCCGCAGAGGCCCTTGCTGCTCTGGAGATGATCCTTCGCGTTTCGCCCCCAGCAGCCGCGCGCATGTTGCCTGCAGTTCTTGAATGGCTCGATGCAGCTTTGGACTTCGGCGATCGCAGAGAGTCGCCCCCTTTGCAGGAGGCACACCACGGAAGAGACAACTCGGAAGTGCGATGCCTCTCTGGGGAGGCGCCCTCTTGGGAGGCTTCCACCGTCCTTCCGAAAGGCCCCCCGTTGGAAGATGCTTTCGCCAGCCTCGGTGCAAGCAAGCCTCCGTCCACACGGTTCTGCTGCGTTCTTGGCGAATCGCTCTCCTTGCCCCCCCCCTTAGGCCCTCTGCGCAGACGCATGCAGCACCTTCAGCGCGTGCGTCTGCTGTCGCTTCTCCTGCGTTTTCCAAGAGTCCTTCGCGCGTCTGCGCGGCTCCTCGCCGTCTGCGCAGAGCACACCCCAACCGTCGAGAAAGGGGCTTCTGAACAAGCACCAGCTTCCCCCAGTCTACGCGGCACAACACCAGAAGTCGAAGGCGAGGGTGGGGAGATTCCCAAGGCAGCCACTGAATTGCAGGCGAACGCTCAGAGACGCATCTGCTCGCACCAGGCAAAAGCCCTGTGCGCTGCGCTTCGCGACTTGGCAGAAGTGCTCTTTCCGGGAGCCGAAAAAGTTGGGGCTTTGGCAGCGAGTCACACCCGCTACGATGCATGCAACGGCTGCAGCAAGGCGACGGAAGAGCTGCTCGTTGCAGCATTGCTGCCCCCCCAAATCCGCTGGTCACCAGGGAGGGAAGTTGCTTCTCCTGCCTCAGAGAGCCTCACGAAAATCGCCGATTCTTCGCGCTCAAACAAAATTCTTACAGCCGCATACACCTGGACCGCTGCTGCGAAATCGGGTGCGGGGGCCCCCGAAGACGCCCCGAGAAAGGCAGCTCTTCATCTGCTTGCCAGCATAAAGGCAAGCCACATGGTTGCAACTTCGGATGCCATGGCTTTTCGGCTGTGCGGAAGCGGGAAAAAATAGCCTAATAAAAGCATTCCTGAGCTTGGGCTACACGCGCATCAGTCGATATGCGCCTTCTTCTCGTTTCAGGTGTATGTGTATGTGAGTGTCTATGTGTGTATGTATGTATGTGTGTGTATGTATGTCTGTGTATGTATGTATGTCTATGTATGTATGTCTGTATGTATGTTTCTGTGCCGCTTCTGGTGCTTTTTCTTATGGCGAACAGGGTCTCCTTTTGTCCTTTGCACTACGCATCGAGGGTTCTCCAAGGTGCCGCGAGACTTTCGGGGCTGCTGCTGCGGCTGCGGATATGTCTGTTGTCAATCAAGCGCAAGGTCAGACAGGCAGACAGACAAGCTCTTGATGCGCTGCGCACACGAATCAGAGGTTTCGGCCGGCTTGCGCTGAGACGCGCTGGTGTATAATCGCCTGCCAGGCAGCGCCTTGCACTGTTTGCACCTCCGGGACGCCTGTGTGTGTGCTTCTCTGCACCTTACAGCCCTGCTGAAGCAGATGAGCGAATTCTTCAACTTGGCAACAGACTGGCCATCAACAGTGCCTCTCTTGGAAGTGACACCGGTTCTCTATGTCCACGCGGTAACAGGCTTGTGCTCTCGCGCGCTTACTGCCAAGCATCTCCCCAAGGCGTATCAGGTGAACTCGGCTCTTGCGGATTCGCGTTGTCTGCTCTCCGCTGGCGCAGCCTCGGCAGTCGCTCAAATTCAGCTCGAGGAACGTGGTGGCGTAAGAGCGGATCATCGTTGCCCTCTAACTGGTGAGGCTCCCTTCTCTTGCACCGCATGGCCAGACCGTCCTGCTGCAGCTGCACGTCGATCCCTGCGTCTTCAGGCGCCTAAATGCTTGCGCGGCGCGCCCTTTGTCTGGACACAGGACGATTGCAGCTGCCTCAAGGGCTCCCTGATGAGCAGCTCGTTGAGCGTCTTCCCCAGCTTCCGGGAGACAGGCCGCATGCTAGTTACCCTCCGGCTGAAAAAGGTTTCCTGGCGTATCTAAGTGATGAAGGCGCCTTTCGCATGGCTATTCAGGTGGCCCGAATGTTGATCGCTCTCGTCAGAACCGTTTCTGTAAGCCAGTAATAGTTGCATCCTGATTGAGACTGTGCTTCCCTCTGCTTTGCCTAGAAAGGGTGCTGACTCGGGCCTTGCTTGCTTGCGCGCTGTGCCTGTGCCTGTGCGCTTCGCAGCTGGAGGACGATGAACGCATGTTCGGCCTTATCGTTCCACCGCTTCTCCGGATTTTAGACATTCCACAGGGTAGATAGATGCCAGCCAGCTTTACTGTGCCTCCTCTCGAATCGCTACGCGCGTTGCCCTTCGCATCATGAGTCTGGAATATGCAACATCTTTGTGGCATGCTTTTCTACGGAAAACATGAGCACGGCGGCACTGCTTGCACGCGGGCCCGCGAATCCACCGGGTTTGCTTTTCGTGCCTTTTTGTGTGCTTCAGCGGAAGTTCGCTTCTTGGGCTGGCAATGTCTGAATGCGTTCATAAGCAACTGCCGGTCCGGTGGTAAGTTGTAAAGGATACTATTCTGTTCTACTTTGCACTGCAGCATACTAATCCACGGCGTTTATCAGGCTACGCTTCCGTAAATAGAGCCGTTGCGGGCACCTGCTCCTCCGTGTGTTCTGCTGATGTCTGCAGCAGGACTGACTAACTTTCGGCTGCCGATCCTTCAGGTATGCAGGCGCTGCTGCTGCCTTTGTGCTTCAAAGCTTATTACTTGACGGCAAAAGTAATCCCAACGAACGAGGCATGCGCTTCGAGTGTGGTCGACGATACATTGCTTCAGCGTGCCCATTACACCTGCTCTGCAGGTGCTGATGGATGGTTTTCCGATCTTCACCGAGCTTGACATCTGCTTCGATGTCTATCTGGAGGCATTTACAACGGTTGTTTGTCGAACGTCTGTTGGCGAGTGTGATCACGCTTTTTTGAACTGGTATGTTTATCGATCATAGAGGCCAGCTGTTTTAGTCCGCAATTCACAAGCTTATAGGTTGTTTGCATCTTTCAAGTAGCCAGTCGACTGCAAAATATGGGTGTTGTGGCGCAGCCAGGATTTTCTGATTGACATGTGCCATGCAATTTTACATAACGGAGACAACGTTCGGTCCGTGTTTTTGAGGCGGACGCGGCCCCTTGTAACATTTGCCGGCCATTTGATCAATCTAAGGCTATATGACTGGATGGATGTCTGCCTAGAAGCGCTGGAAAGCCTCTCAGTTAGCGTCGTGATAGAGGGTGAGTTATTCCCGCAACTACCTATGGACGGGAAGCTAGCATTTTTTGTCTCTCCTGCATGTGGATCTTCACTTGTACTGTGCGGCCTGACCTCAGGATTGCTAACTCTCGAACAGCTCCTTGCTCTCGGAATTGACATGGACGAGTTTATGCCACAAATACTTTGCCGTCTGGCCACCTCCGCCCAAGTTGCTGACGCTGAATTTACGTCCCAAGGCGCTTGCAGGGGAAACACCAAATATCTGTGAGAAAATGAAAAAGCAAAACTATTGCCATTAGATATACAGGATTCTATGGCTGTTGTCACGCGTCCTCATGCCAGATGTGAGGCTCAACGCTGTGCTAGCCTTGTCTACTAGTGGTTGGATATGCCCTGTGCAGGGAGTTGAAGAGAGCTGTAGTCTCAGTCACACATCGAATGGTACGCTCAGCGGACAAAGCACTCCTCTCGACGCTTAGCCGGAAGATTGTTGACCATTTCCAACAGTTTCGCTCTGATGAACCCGATCTCGTCGACACTTTAACCAAATGGTTTTCACACTTTTTTACATTGCTGGAAGAACGGTCTGCTGACACGGAGAGAAAAGTGTCAGTCTCGCCCACAGTGAAGACTCTTTTTTAGACCCTGTGTTGTTTTTTTGTGCACGATGCTTGGGTCACCATCGAAGCTACTTGTTTCGGCAGACAGCTCGTGTTATACAGGAAACCAATTGGCGTCCGCAAGCACACATTCTCGTTTTGATATCACGGTAGTCCATGCATTATGCGTACCTCTGGTGACTCCTCAACGCTCAGGTGGGTAGTGAGAATCTTTTGCACCCGAGTGTGCCACGGTGTATCGATATACCTTTCACCTCACTGAACTAAAACTAATTCCCTTGGTTCCTTACACCTCGCAGCCAATGAATACATTATTACCGCTAGAAAGCTAAACAGTAGGCGGGAGGGCCCAGGACAGCGACTAGCAATATGCCATTCACAGCAGCAGACGGTAGAGTGCGTTTTACTCGAACGTCAGCCGGGCAAGTAGCAGTTTTTGACACTTGAAGAGTATCTGACAATACATTGCGGATTGTCTTGCCGAACCCCTCCTGGCAGCAATTTCAGAAGTGCTTTAAGGCTACTCCAATTCACGAGGTTGGTAGCTGTATATGAATGAGTGTGGGGCCCAAGCGCTGAGGGTTCGTGTAATCTGGTGGGGGCAGGCTCTACAAGCAGCTCGGAGTTTCTAAAAGTAAATTCAACCATATTTGTATGAAGTACCGTTACAAGTATAGCAAAAACAATGGGAATGAAATATTGAGTGGTTGTGGTTTCCATGTACATTTTCCCCTCATATCTGAAACATCTTCAGCATGCGGTGTGTGACAAAGAATCCACCTGAGGAGAGCGGATGGGTACCAGGGCAATTAGGCAAGGCGTGAGGCTAAGGCTTACCAGCAATGTTAACGGAAGCAAGGAATGTTCCCATGAGAGCTAGGGACGTCAAACCAGAGATCCTGGCAGTTCCGTACTCTGAAGTCGCATACTTTATGGCCTCATTGACAGTGCGTGATCAATTTGCCTTACCAAGCATACAGCCGATGACGATAACTCCGGAAAGCTGTCAAAAATAAGTAGGATTTGAATTGTATTGAAGAAGAGGAGTATAAGCTCTGCATACCGCATTCGTTACAGACATCAATGGCGTATGAAACGCAGGAGTGACAGCCCAGACGCTGCCATACATTTGCTTCCGCTTTCTTGATGAGTTTACTCGGTAAGCTCGCCTACCAATAGTAGCCCACAATGAGGGACAAGGCGAGCAGTGTCAGATGCTTCAGCTCCAGCGGGTCTAAGACGACTGTGCAGACCGAAATGCCTGCATGGTACCAAGTGGAGAGAGTAAAAACACTTCTTACTGCCGAGCAGTCCAACAAAAGCGGCAGCGACAACCAGGCACATGGCGAAGAAAGCATCCGAAGCGAGTGCATGCCCTAGTGCACCGCTAGACTTGTGTGAGGCTGTGCTAACAGTGGATGGAGGTGGTAAATCTGCCCCTATGGGGGCCCTTGAAACCGGTGCGGGTTGAGGAGGCTGCCACACACTGCCTAACACCAGGTACTGAGGGCTATAGATGCGCACGCTGAAGCGAGCGGTACTGCTTACGCCCTTGGTAGACTGCGACCAATCCTTTAATGACTTCGTCATCCATGTTGATACGGAAGTTGCTGCCACCACCAAGGTCCTCAAGAAGATTACAGATATTCATGGAGAATAACTCCGATGCCTGAATGGGCATGCGAGTCTCAATACGTCGGCGTCCAATGACAGTGATTCCATCGACCACGATCTGGTCATCCTTTGGTGATACTTCAACGTTCCCTCCCCAGCCGGCACTAGTATCACCGAATTCAGTTGCAAGATCCACAACCACGGAACCGGGCTTCATCGTGCGCAGCATTTCTCGTGAAATCAGTTTCGGAGATGGCTTGCCATGGATGGCAGCGGTGCAGATAACGACGTCGCAGTGTTTGATCGTGTTTGCGACCATGTCGCGTTGAGCTCTCTGAAATGCCTCTCCCATTTCGCGTGCATAGCCACCATGCACTTCTCCTTCCTCTCCCTGGTATCCACCATTGCAAGAGCATGTCTAATCCATGCAACCCTAGCAACCTACCATTCTTAATCCAATGAACTTTCCTCCGCATGACTCGACTTCCTCCCGAGTTGCGGAACGCACATCATGAGCGAAAACTTGTGCGCCCAATCCATGAGCAGTTGAGATGGCTTGTAGCCCAGCAACGCCAGCACCGATGACAAAAACTTTGGCAGCCTCAACTCGCCCTGCAGCGCTAATGGATGCCTTGCTCAACTTCGGCAAAGCATTGAATGCCTCTATAACAGCGCGGTATCCTTGTAAGCCTTGCATCGCAGATCTACAGAAGGAAGCCATGAATAGTAAACTTTTTCTGAATTTTTGGTGATAACTAACTTCACATCCAGCTTTTGTGCTCTTGTTACACGAGGCACTTCATCCACAGCAAGAGCAGTGACTCCTTGATGGGCCAGCATTTTCAGTATTTCAGTGTTCCTGCAGACGGCAGCAGTTTCTAAACGTAAAGTCTTGGAAACTGCCGAGTCATGCTCCTTACAGGCTGGGGAACAGGTTGCTGATAAGAACCTTATCTCGAGGCAGCCGAGAAACAATCTCAGGAGAGGGGGGCGAAACACGAATTAAAACTTCAGCGCCCCGAATAACATCTTCAGCGCTGCTTGCAATCTCCGCACCAACTTGTTGATAAGCTTCATCGGGAAAGCCAGCATCAGTGCCAGCTCCAGATTCAATCAGTACCCTGAGAACAAGTTGCCTCTCTCTCTAAGCATTATTGAAGGTACTGCCTTACCGGAATGCCATCCGCCTCAGCTTGGAGACAAACTTTGGCGCAATGGGAACCATACTTGAGCCATTGGCATCTTTCATAACGCCAATAGAGAGTCTGGGGTATGGAAATGAGGAGGGATCAACATGTTCATCTCTCTCGAACTCGAGAAGCCCTGCTTCAAGGTCGTCGCGGGATGCAGAGGGTGGGAGTTGCTCAGATTTCTGACGCGAGATTCAGCATATGAGCAGCACTAATCAGCAAAGCAGTGCGGACATACAGCATTGATGCAGGCGAACACGGAGGAAGTTGTATTTTTTGCATTCCCAAAGACCATTCGAGTATTCTCCAAGTGGAAGAGAGGGTTCTCAATGCTAGCGTAGCCCGCCGCCATTGAGCGTTTGAGAACAAAAACGCGTTTCGCCTTCCATGCCTCAATCACCGGCATTCCCGATATCTTTGATCCTTGTTCAAGCGCAGCTGGATTGACGGTGTCGTTGGCACCAACAACGAGAACAACGTCATAGGAACTAATTTCAGGATTGATTTCAGACATCTCTTTAACAATCTTATAGGGCACGTCGGCCTCAGCCAACAAAACATTCATGTGGCCTAAAGCGAAATGAAGGAGCAATTGTAACAGAAATCAGAGCCCTTCAGTACCTGGCATGCGACCAGCGACTGGATGGATGCCAAAATCAACGGAGATGCCGCACGTCATTAGGTTCTGTACGTGAGTTCATCGTTTTACCACGCTGTGCAAACATGGCATGCAGCGAATCCTACCTTTGCAATATCGGCAAGCTCGCTCTGGCACCGTGCGACAGCCATACCGTATCCTGGCACGATCAGAACCTTGCGGGCTGCCAGGAGCTCATCAGCAACTTGCTCAGGCGTAGCCTGCTGGACTGCACCCTGGGGCCTAGCGGCGTCTACTTCCTCAGTTTCCTCAAATCCCCCAAGAATGACGTTCCATAGGCTTCGGTTCATTCCCTTGCTGTTTTGATGCCACTGAGAATCTTTAGTTACCCACTCTAGCAGACGCCTACTCACCACATGATGTACGACAGAATAGCGCCAGAGGAAGCGATGAGAGCACCCGCGATAAGCAAAAGGTTGTTGTCCAACATGAATCCGCTACAAATGCATGAGCAGCTGCTGCCTGCCTGAAGTACATCCCATTCAAGCATACCTGGCAGCTAACGCCACGCCGGAGTATGAGTTAAGCAAACTTATGACGACTGGCATATCGGCACCACCAATAGCCGCAACCAGGTGAAAGCCAAGCCACATGCTTAGCCCAGCGTTCACGTAGCTGAAAGAGCCAGTTACTTTGCAGGAGGGTCAGCAGAATTTGAATCAGTATCCTACAGGTACAGCATCCGGGTGAGGTGGCCAGGGGACACGCAGAAAAGTGCTCCAAGAACGGCAACGGCAACTACAGTGGCGGAATTCAGTGCATGCCGTCCAGGAACCTTCAGCGGGCGGCTCTCCATTGAACCATGCAGCTTGGCAGCAGCAACGACTGGCGAAGCAGCGAACAACATACATTTAAGCTAGTTTGAGCTAAACACGGAAAAAAACTCTTACTGGATCCTGTGAAAGTAACACCGGCAACGAAAACACCAATGTAGATTTCTAGAAGGCGAAGGAGTGATGAAGGGCGTCCGGAGCCCGGAGGAGAGTGGAAACTTGCAAACCCAACCTGTTACAGGTCTAATGCGCAATATATATATTATCAAATATCCAAGTTCCCTCACCATGACTGCAGCAAGACCCACAAAGCTGTGGAACAAAGCCACCAGTTGAGGCATATCAGTCATATTCACACACTTGGCGATGTACAGGCCCAATCCAATAGCAGGTAGCGCCGTCAGGAAGAACACCAGGTAGTGATGGCCAAAACCTGCCTCCGTGAAAGTAACAACAACTGCAGCCACCATGCCTACAAGACTGTTAAGGAATATACTAGGCAACAAACGCGTATGGAGATATAATTTCTTACCCAAGTATGTTTCCGCGCATGGCCGTCTCAGGAGTGCTCAAACCTCTAAGGCACAAAATGAAGCAAACGGCTGAAAAGAGGTATACGGCACCCAGAAGAGAAGGCATGTTGGACAGTGAAAACTTTGAAATTGATCCGCCTTCTGAGCCATCCGAGGGAGAACCGCCGAAGCCTTCTTCAGCTTCGCCAGGCCTACAGAGCGTTCAAATTTGCTAGAGAAGCGAAAATGTGTCACTCATACCGGTTCACAGGAAAGAACTCGCCCATGCGGGCAAGATGATGCCGAATCGACCTCAGATTCGCAGAAGGGAAGTCGAACTCAGCAGTTGCAGTCGAGCTCCATAGAGCTGCTCCCAGAAGGGTGGCTATGAAAACATAGGACAATCCGCAGGGATGCCACATATTTGAAGGTGTTAAAAGTGACGGTGGCAATAAAATTACAGCCAGGTTTCCCCCTCAGGTGCCGCTACTCTTGCGGACCTATGCTGGTGTTGGATTGTTCTGATTCCATGACTGCCATGTCCCCACCAAATCAAGTGGTCCGCGCGGATGGTTCGGCGTAGTGACAGCACCGGTGTCTTCTGCACTAGGGGTGATTATTCATGTAAATGGCTGCACTAAAACATACCTTTTATTCTAATGACGTAAAATTGAAATTTGTATTCAAGATGTGCTGCTTGCTCCTAGTATCCCCAATGCTACACATGGCTCATTATTGCCCGTGCTCCACATTCATCAGGATGATACTGTTAAATGTACGAGCACATAGCTCAAGCGACACTCTTGGTGATTGCATTGCATTAATATCCCTCTTTATTCATGCCTTCCTACAAGAGAAATGCCGATTCTGCGTGGCGGACGTTCCTCTAATTCTGCCTTCTTGAGACTCGACGTGCCCCACTCTGTGCGGCTCTCGAGACAGCTGTCCAAAGCTTTTCTGTTTAATACAAGCAAATAGGGTTAATTTTATGTGATTAAGGTTTCGTAAATGCTATTTTTTGTTCACTCTGTCTAATGTACTGTGTTTTTTCTGAGACCCCATGACCCTTTTCCCCTGACGTCGGTCAAAGGAGCATGTGCTTTGCCCGAGGCGTTCGGCATATGCAAAACTCCCTTGGCTTGGAAAACTCTAGTGAAAATCTTTACATTGATATCCTGTTACTTCGAGTATTGTGTGCCACGGTAGAAGATGCCACAGCATCCTCAGAGGACTCAAGTGCTTTTACCGCATCGCCGGTTTTCTCTTTCCGCTCTAGCTTCTAGGCTTAGAGGTCCTCCTACTTCACCTCAAAAACTCCAAACCGAAGCGTCAAACAAAACGTCCTCAAGTCAAATGATTGTGTGCAGCGATGATCGACATCAGAGTAGCACGCAGCAACGTCATCATCTGTGTTTAAGTCAGGCAGCTCGCAAAGGCTTAGTATCCATATCGCATGCGAGTAAGGAGGCAGCACATGAGAACACGCATAACCAGGAGTTATATCATTCTGATCTGTATTGCACTGGGGAAGCGAAAATCACGAAGCCAGCTCGCAATGTCAAAGAATACACTCGAACCGATGAGCTACGCCATACACAGCTTCAAAGATGTGTTGAACGTCCGGCTTTGTTGGACGAAGTAAAATATCTGGACAGCGATTGCACCCCATTAGCTTCGTCTGCAATCCCATTTTGGGATACAGATGAAAAAAGCTGCCTGCCATATACCCCATCAAAAGTGTTAAGTTCATGCCAATGTAAGACTGAACTTGCCGGCGAGAATCGTGAGGGCGGAAAACAAACCAGCGGAGATTTTACATCTGATCTTGTAGCAGGTTCACAGCCACCTAATGGCTGTATATCCAGCCCATTGGCCACAGCGCTACATCGACAAGGAGCTGCTGCAGGAAAGCTCACAACAAGGCTGGAGCACCCTTTTGAAGAAAAATGCAGGTTACTATTGAACGATGGTATGTCGTCGTCATGCTTTGCACAGTGGGGAATAGGGACCACTTGTAGAAAGGGTCTTAAAAAGAGTCAAGCCAATCAAGATGACTTCTTCGTCTATTGCTGTAATGAGTGGGGCATGTATGGCGTCTTTGACGGTCATGGGCCTGGTGGTCATTTTGTGTCAAACTTCATTCAGTGGCATCTTCCTAATATCATTCATGACTATATCATTGCCAACATGGGGGTACCGGATGCTTTGAAGAAGTCGTTTCTGCGCGTCAACCAAATGCTAAAAGTAGCATCGAAAAGGCAAGACTTTGACCTCGTTTCCAGCGGGTCGACAGCGTCAGTAGTACTCCACCGCAAGCAGGAAAACAAGCTCTTCGTAGCACATGTTGGTGACTCCAAGATTATTTTGGCTACCCGCAACAACGCAGGCCGCCTGGTTGCTGAAAGGATAACAAAGGAGCACAGGCCAAACGACCCCCTGGAGAAACACCGTATTGAACTGTCTGGAGGAGAAGTCAGAAGACCAGTAGGACACGTCCCATACCGCGTATTCGTGAAGGGAAGCAATTTTCCGGGGCTCGCAATGTCACGGTAAGCCAACCATGCAAGAAAGATAATGTTTGCATGCATTATCCTTATGCTTTGTTGCTGCTCTTTTGCGAGATCTTGTCCCGTGCACCGTTTGCATATTATTACAGGTCACTGGGCGATACGCTGGGTCACGCAGTAGGCATCATTTCTGTTCCGGATATCATGGAAAGAGCCATTGTTGAAGGTGTTGATGAATACCTGATAATCTGTTCTGACGGAGTCTGGGAATTCATCAGTGATCAGGAAGCTGTCGATATTGTTTCGCGTTACCCAGCTGACCAGGTTCGTCATAATCCAATGCTCAAAAATAGAGCGATTTCATGTTTCTAATGCTTACAATAAGAGTGGGTGGGACTGTGCTTGCGTGGGGCTGTTCAGGCGGACAAGGCTGTAGCAAAGTTAAGTTTGGATGCTTGGAATCGGTGGGTGGACCGCAACGGTAATTCTGTGGATGACATTACAGCCCAAATCATACACATGTTTCCTTCGAGTAGTCCCCGGTCTTTGGTGAAGCGAGAAGATTATGAAAGCTTGGATCCTCTCGTGTTGTTGAGGCGCTAGTGGAAGGTTCCACCTTTTGCAAGCAGCAGGCATGTAGGGAACTGTGCTCCTCCAAAGCAGATGTCATAAGGAACGGCGTATGCTAAAAGCATTCGTACTAGTTGGGTATATATGAAGCAGTACTTAGTGGCCTGCGCGGAGCGGATCAAGCAGCAGGTACCAGGCAGGAACACGTATAAGCTATTGCACTTAAACTGAAGACAAATCAGGCTTGACCGCTTCAAATCGTCTACTTGAAACATGGGTTTCCAGCCGTTAAAGGTTTTTGGGATTCCTGTGTCATGCTTCTAAGTGATGTTCATGGTCTTCATGCGTGTGCGCCGTTAAGCATACTGTAGTGCTGGTGAGGACACTACGTACTACCAGAGGACCAAATGCCTATTTGGAGTTTCGGCCCTAAATCGCAGTGCTCTCTTTAAAGCTCAATCCCACCCTCAAAGAATGCATTGTCCGGCTTGCATCCTGATGAATCGGACTAAAGGCTTTCTACCTCTATGCTGGAGGCTCAAACTGTTGAAGATCGGTCATGCAAGCTGTAACGTACATGTCTGTTTTCTGGCCTACAAATATGTAGTGTGTGTCCAACAGATCGGTGCGTGAAGCGGATATGATGGCATTTTCTGATTCAGAAACTTTCTAGAGCTTGTTCAAGGTTCATACTACCCCGTGTTCACCAGCGACTTTTCTAGGGTTGTCGGGTGCTTCGACACTGCGCTACACAGGACTCTGTTCTCATCTCTGGCCATCAAGAAAAGCAGTATCCGAGACTTCTAAACGGTCACGAGACCAGCGCATATCTAGTTTTTGGCTTTTTCATGAATCAATTTTTGAAAGGCTGTTGAGGCTTTAGGAGGTTGAATACAGTCTACAGAGGTACTGTAGTCGCAGCGTTTTCGTGGAAGGGTGTGTACTGTTAGACTACTGTAGCACCAATGCCCAAGTGATATGCAGCGTAAATGTGTATAAAGTCTCATACGGAAAAGAGCAAGTGTTCTAACTGTTCAACATTACGCCAGTATGTTGCAGCAAATCCTGAAATGCAAATGTAAGCTGATCCAGTCGTCCAAACTTCATGTATTCATGAACAGATCATTCAAAGAGCCAGCCAATGAAATAATTTTGGCATTCACATTTCATTTGGCAATTTTTCTCATCTGCATATGGAGTACCTAAGTCAGCAGCGGGCTAAGCGACGCTTCTAGTTATAGATGTAACTTAAAATATGTGTAACTTCTAATAGGTGTAGACATAAAATTTTTCGGTGTTGGTAGAACTTATGCATCGCAATGTGCTGTTAGCTCTGTGTAATAATAAATGTTCTGTGCGTGTGCGCTGGATGTGTTTACAACTAACTGGGAAGGTGTACAGCATGCATGCAGCTACGCGCACCGTAACTCTCCCTTTCTCTATACGCTGAGAAACCTAAGGCTACTTGCAGGAAAGGCATAGAACTCTTTGATGAACACTCGAAAGCTTTCTGTCATGTTTGTATTGACCCTGGAGTGAAGTGCATCCCTACGGAGACCTTAGACGGAGCGTCACAAAGCCAGCAATATTATGCATCCGAGGAATCGTTCACAAACAAATCGTAGCAATAGTATGGCAACGGCTTGACCGCCCTACAGTAAACTTGGCGCGGGAGTAGTACTGAACGAAAACGTGTTTATCTAAGGGGGGATACGCTGTTTTTGGTTTTGAAGTGCCAGCTCAAGGGTTTCAAAAGCTTTTCGCTTCTTATACAGCATACCAGAGATGAATAGTACCTACAATCTTTGTCAACGCTGCTGAAAGCCCGAGTTTTCAGTTTTTCAGTGCTTTGCGGCTTGCACGTTGGGATGAACAGAACCTAATGGGCAAAGAGCTAATGTACAGTGTCTTGTACTATTGGGTTAGGGAACTGCCACGACAATTATATCAGCAGGATCCATGCTATGGCCAAAGTAGATAAGGCTGAGCTTGTGAGGGTTCCTCAATGTAGATGGAGCACGATGATATGCCACGCCCCCTCGCTGACAGTGGTGCTTTATGGATCCGGGATGTGTTCCTCCTAGTTTTAGTCTTATGAAATGAATAATGATTGTATTCACACGAACCACAAATTAAGTGGAACAAAGCTAGAAGGGTGAAGGGATAAGACTGCCGTCTCGTTGACCTGCTACGCAGTGATTTTCATTGGGTTGCATGTAAAAATGCGAAACTCTGCCAAACATTCAATCCCACTCGAAGCCCCCTTATAACTAATTGTTTTAAAATGAGCGACGTTCCGAGCTGCGTAGCTATGAATAATTTATGCCTGGATAATCATGTGTCGTCTGCCGGGCTGCGGAGCGAGTCTGCTTGGATACCTGTAATGGCTGGGTGTCCCTTTGGAAAGTAAGATACATGCATTGCGTGCATCTCTTTCTTATCGCTTCCTGAAAACGCCATTTCGTTTTCATTACCGTTCGAGATTTTGCAGGGGGCCCTCTTTTCCACGTAAGTTATGCCGCCTCATGCCTCACGGTTGGTTGCTGCCTCTAGTGCTGAACCTCTTTCTAAAATGGCGTGCTCGTGCTACTGGATCAGTGTCTAGTGTTCTCACAGGGAGCAGCAGTCCCTGCGGCTACTTCGAAGGGTCGATTAACGCGATTTCTCTTTATGTGTACCGACAAGGGGCCAAATGTGTATTATCCCTCCGTCTCCCCAGTGCCTGCAGTTCTGTTCGTAGGAGTCCACCCATCTTGTATTCAAAGATGACGGCGCCTCCAGCGTAGCTCAAGATGAACGGCAACTGGGGTGGCGGCATGCCTGCCGCTGCCCCCACACCAGCCTGCTCCCCCAGTCAGAGGAAGATGTGTGACGAGGCACGCGCTGCTGCCGCGTGGCTTTGGGTTCATTCGGAGGTTGCCGAAGCAGTCCAGCGCTTTGCAGAAGACCTTTCGGCCGTGCACAAACGAGGGCTCAGTGCAGCGGCAGCTCTCGACATCTGCCACCAGAGTGAAACTGGGAATTCGCGTGGCAATGCAGTGACTTGCGAGTCCGCTGCGGGTGGGGGGGCAAGGGACGCCCTTAACAGTTTGCTGCTCCTGTGCTCGGAGGCTGGAGCTGAGGCAGAGCGCTTCGCGTCTGCCTTGAAAATCGGAGTTATTCAGCCTGTAAACCAGGCGTTAGAGCCGCTGGCTCGCGCTGCAGATGCTGCAGGCCCTCCTGGCTTCCCCAACAAGCACATTTTGGGGGAACTTGCTCGAGGAGGAGATGTGCAGAAGGCAGCAAGGCGGCTGCAACTTGCCGAGGAGGAACTGACGGTGAGACGACCCCCTACTGGGTCGGGGAGGCTCACAATAGGGGGGCCAGTCGGTGTTTTTGGTAGTCGCTGTTTGTTGCCCATGATATGTGCTACGTGCCTCTACCTGCATGTGCACATATACTTTTGAGCTGTGCGCACTGTATGCGTTCATGTGCATCTGGCTGCTGCAGAAGGCGGAGGCGAGTTTGCAGGAGCTCAAGAGTTTGTTCGGCTCTTTTGTGAATTCCTCGTTGGAACAAAAGGCGACAGAACGAATTTCTCGCGCCTCGCGGCTGAAAGTCGCTGCCCAGGAAGCCTTGCAGCAGTCCTTGGCTGCAGACGCAGCGAAGCAGCCTCAGGATTCTGCCTCTTTAGCTCCGCACCCCCTGTGCGTGCACAAAGGGCAGGCGTTTTCCTCCCCCGCCGCTGCCGCTGTGCCACCCTTTCCGCAGGCTCAATGCACTTTTAGAGCTTGGCAAAAGTCGAGCTACTGATTTGCGGGGGCTGGTGAGGCCATGAATGGTCTTCGGATCGTGCTTTTTCCAAGCGTTGATTGCTTGCCTGGCACCCTGTGTTGCTGCCTGCTGCCTCAGGACCCCCTTGAGGCTGCAGGGTGGTGCACGGCTGCTGATGGCGGGGAATAGCGAGCAGTGGTCTAAGGCTGGCAGTCAGAAGGCTGAAGAACATCACCGACGCGTTTCCACTGCAGTATTGCAGTCCATGCGAGCTGCGGGAAAGGTACTTGCAGCCTTAACACGGATGCGTGCAGCCCAGCGTTCATTTGGATGAACGCTGGGCTGCATGCATCCGTGTCATTGCGCGTTTTATGCCTTTGCCATTGGCATAAAACACTGCTCTTCGCGACTCGCGTGTCGTTATAGAGTCCGCAGGAGGAGGGGCAGGAGGGGGGATCCACGCGCACGCGGCAGACTTCACAGACTCCATTCGCGAGGGGGAGGGGCTAATGCGTCTTGCTGCTCTCTGTGTTGTGTTGCGCTGCCTGCTTGTTTTCCTCCGACACGCGCAGGCAGCGCTGACGTCGCAGCAGCGTAGCACGGGGTTTGTCTTGCACTATGTCAAGGACCTGCAACTCTTTGCGGCGGCGGAAGTAGCCGCTGCAAGCGCTGCTGGCAGCTTTTTGGTGGAGGCGGAGGAGGACGTGTTGCCCCTTGGAGCGGCAGAGGATCTCATGTCTTGGCTGTATAGGCAGAATTCGGGTGCTCTGGGTGCCTCGCAGAAGCAGACAAGTAGGGCCGTAGATACAAAGCATGCAGCCTTCGGCCTGCCTGCCGCATGCAAAGGAGTCGTGCAAATAAATCGCGTAGCAGTGTGTTACCGACACCCGGTGGCTCTGACATGCGTGGTAGACTTTGAGGGGTGATGTAAATGCGGGAGGTTGTCGCAGCCGTCCGGCTTTGAGGTCGCCTTCCCGATTCGAGGTTGGGGAGCTAGGAGAGGCGGCTGTGTGTTTGTGTGTTTGTAAGCGAACCACACTTGGAGTGCGGTGAGTGCAGTATTGAGTTTTTCACTGGGGCAGCACCTGTTGTCTGTGCTTTTGCGGGCTGTGCATGGCGTGTATTAGGCGAAGCCACTCTGAGGAACCTGTTGCTGCATCAGGAGAAGAAGCTCCAGGAGACGCTGGCGGAGAGAGACCTCCTGCACAGGCAAAACGAGAAGCAGCAGAAGGAGATAGAGGAGCTGAAGCGGCAGCAGAAGAAGGAGGAAGGGGCTGTTGCCGCTTCGGAGGATCTACGGGAGGCACGGCGGAAGCCGAGGAAGCAAGTGACGATACACCTGGCAGACGACGCGAGCGAGGACGCAACACAGTGCCAGCAGCAACAGCAGCAGCAGCAGCATCATGGTCATGGTCAGCACCAGGGGGGGGAGCAAGGGGAGCTGCACGGGAGGGCTAACGGTGGCGATGTTGCCACCAGCACGGCTCTGCAGCTCTCCGCAATCAATGCAGGCAATGCCGAGGGGGCCCCCTGGGGGGCCCCCTCTGATGCAAGCCCTCCCGCTGCAGGAAATTCGAGTGTCCGTCGACCAATAGAAATGGTGTGGGTGGATGTACAGTCGAGGTATGAGGCGTTTCTTCTCTCTTTGACCCCTCTTTCTTTGCCTAGCACGTGGGATAGCGGCTACAAGCCAAAGCAGCAGCAGCATCATGAGCAGCAGCTTTCAGGGAGCGGGGAGGGATGCAGCGCATCGCCTTCGGCTGCCTTTGGCTTTGGAGGGGGGGAAGGTTCCTCGCGAGGAAGCGAGTTGCACTGGAGTGACCACAGCTTTGCCGCGTCGCTTGCTGCGGCTATTGAGTCTGCTGCTGACGCTGCCTTGCCAGCCTTTCTGGTGCGCTGCTGCCGTCTTGCCTCCACCGCTGCTGCTGCTGCTGCTCCGGCTAGCGATTCCAAGCCAGGCGCTTCTCGCAGCAACCGAACAAGTCGAATGTCTGTACACCTGGTGCAGCATCAGCTCCTCTCAAGCAGGCGACAGCAGCAGCAGCAGGAGAAGGCCGATAGCGGCACGCCGAGCTGTCTCCTGGACTGGAAGGAAGCGGATCTGCAAATGCTGGCTTACGAACTTGTGCTGCTTGCAGCCTATCACCACGCTCAGTATGCCGAGGCAGCAGCCTTGCTAGCAGATGAAGGGGAGGCAATGCTCGCTGCCGCTGCCACCGACAGGCTCAAACGCCCCCCGAGGGAAAACATGCAGCTTGCTGCAGCATCTGCTTCTGCTGCTGCTGCTGCTGCATCTCGACAGATGCGGCCTCCACGAAATTCATTAGCGCGAGCCATGTCTTTCAAACTCGGAGCACTGCATGGCAGTGAGACGCAACAACAGCAACACCAACAACAACAACTGCAACAACAACAGCAACAACAACAGCAGCAACAACAGCAGCAACAGCAGCAACAACAACAACTGCAACAGCAACAGGCCATAGACGCTGTGGCAGAACGGGATTCCACAGCAGAGCTCCTGCCTCAAGGCTCAATAGGAGCTCCTGGATGCCTCCTTCGGAAGCAGCGGAAATCTCTGACGCGTGCTATGTCATTTAAGCATGCGACAGGCATGCACGCCAAAGACACAGAGCGGCAACAGCAGCAGCAGCAGCCACAACAGCCACAGCAGCCGGGCTCTCAGTTCGCTCATGCGGACTCCGTTACACCTGCGCGTGTCTCGACGGTTGATTTGCTTGGTCCTTGCCATCCTTTCTCGCTGACATTAGAGGAATGGAGGCAGTGCCTTGCAGTAGGCAGCCAGCGAAAGGCTGCTGCAGCACGCCTTGACGTTCTTCCCATCCGGAATCGGCTGCATGCGGCGCTGCAGTGGCTGTCTCCGAGTCCGTTGCTGCAGAGATCTAACGAGGACGTGTTGCTGCAGCTGCTCCAGCTCACTCGAGTGTCCATCGAGTTGCCAAGCGCGAGCAGCAACACACTGCGTTGCCTCCTGACACCCGTGGCGGCAGACAGCGGCTTAGGGTCTGGCAGCCGCAGCACTTCGCTGCATCCATGCGATCTGCGCTTTCGCGTCTGCCGCCTCATGGAGGCGTGGCGTGTGTCCTCTTGTCCAGCGGCCTCTTTTGCGAGGATGCAGCTCCGGAAGAAGAAGCAGTCTCAGCAGCAGTCTCAGTCGCGCGGCAGGTTTCGTCATGGATCGGCTGCTGGAGCTACGACGGAGCGTTTAGACACCGCGCAAGGCGCACGCGGAGCTCTGCGTTGGCGGGCTGCCGCTCAACCGGCCACGGTGGGGGGGATCGATAGGAAAAAATCCTCAGAAAAAGCATCTCCAGCTTGCGGCAAGAGTGCGATTTGGCCTTCAGGATCGTCTGGAGAGGCAGAGGACTCAAGCCCGTCACAGCCGCAGCTAGCTGGTGATCTAGCGCCTCCTGCGCTGCTGCTGCAGTCGCCGACGCAAGAGAAGAGACGCGGCGGCAAGCGGCCTTCTGCCGCAGCAGCGGCAGCAGCAGCGTCGGAGGAGGAGAGGCAGACGCAATGTGCGCCTGTGTTTCGGTCCTTCGTGCAGCGGCAGCTCCAGCTCCTCTACGCAGCGGCCTTAACGCGGTGCGAACGTCTGCTGAAATTTTTGCTGCCTTCCGGCGGCTCGTCGCTGCAGCACGCAACAACGGCGACGGCTGAAAACGAAGGAGGCCTTTTCTTCTTCGCCTCCTCGTCCTTGCAGTGGCGTCCAGTGCAGGTGCAGCAACTCTACGCACGTGAGCGAACCCGAAGCGACGAGGAAGCCTTCCTGTTTTTCTTGCAGTCTCTGCTGCGCTGTCAAGGCGAGATGACAGACTCCAGAAAAGGCGATCCCCAATGCCCTCCAGCCTTCCTTCTGTACTCAAAGGAGGAGACGGCGGCTGCGATCGCAGCCGCTGCGCAGCTGGAACTGCTGCCGCTGCGGCTGCTGTGCTGCTTTTACCACATTTTCGCCTGCGTCTTCGCGCTGCAACAGCTGCAGCGGCAGCAGCTGTGGGGAGACGAGGAAGCCTCCATAGGCCTCGAGGAAGTCTCCATATGCGTCACAGACTCGGGAGCCTCTGCAGGCACCGGCGAGGCAGAGATGCCCCTCTCGTGGGAAGTTCGCACTGAGCAGCGGGAGAGGGGTGGCTTGCAACTGCTGCAGCTGCTGCTGCACAACATGTCTCAGGCTGCTGCCCTAGACGCTGCTCTGCGCTGCACTCTTGCGGAGAGAGGCGTTAAAAATCCCCTCCTGAGAAAGCTCAGTGGAGACCACGAGCAGTTGCCTGCAGGGGAAGCGCAGCGGCTGCGCCGCATGCAAAGCCTCAAGCCTGTTAGCAACCTCCTGGAGGTCCCTCCTATCCGCAGCGACTGCGGCGGGGAGATTACAGAGGAATCCGACTGTACGAAACGCTTTCTTCCCATGTGTCTTGTCGCCCTCTTGCTGCCTGTGGTCTCTACACGGCCTTCCTCTTCATGCCTTCCCAAAGCCTCCCCTTTTTGCCCAACATCATTACCGATAGATAAATAGGCTTGCCTTTGCTGCCAGTGCAGGCCTATCTATATATATATATATATATATCTATCTCCCTGTCTATCTATATATATCTATCTCCCTGTCTATATATATATATATATATATATATCTCCCTGTCTATCTACATATATCTATCTCCCTGTCTATCTACATATATCTATCTCCCTGTCTATCTATATATATCTATCTCCCTGTCTATCTATATATTTCTGTCTCCCTGTCTATCAATTGATGGCTGCAAATAATTTTGGGAGAGCTGCAGGAAGTTTGCGCGCGAGTGCTTCGCGCCGACGATGGTGCCCCCCTGTTTGTGTGTGCTGCTTCTGCTCGTGCAGGTAGTGTGATTTCGGGGTCGGAGGTGGAGGAAGGCTGGCGCGTTGGATTCCCTTCTGTTCAGCAGGGGGGGACGAATGGACAGGGGCAGAGTGGTCTGCGTGCTGCTTTAAGGCGACCAACGTTGAAGGGTTTGCGGAGGCGCACGCTGCGAACGTTGGAGGGAGGCGCAAGCGCCTCCGGGAGGGCTGCTGCGGCTGCAGCAGCAGTTGCATGCGCGCTGCTCGCTGAGGACGAGCAGCAGAAGCGTCCCTTGTTGTGTCTGCCTCGCGAGGTTCAGTTGAGCGCCTACTGGTGCATGGATGTTCCTCTGCTGCTTTCCCTGTTGCTGCTGCTGGCGCGCTGCTGCTGCACAGATGCCGCATCTCCGAACGGCCTGCAGCTGGACGCCCCCTCTTTGGTGCAAGCGTTGCTGCTTGTGGCTCACGCCGCGCAAGTGGGAACGGATCCCACGACGCCTGCTGCCTTCGAAGAGGAGGCTGCGGGGATGGAGCGCTGCAAGGGGACGGCCTCCCCCTCGGCGTCGCTGCTGCTGCAGGCGTCTCGCGCTGGAAGCGGCTTCCCAGGACTGTCGCTAGAGTCGATTTCTGTGCTGATAGCCGCATGCATCTGGGGAGTAGCCAGCGCCGCACCCTCGCCAGCCGCTCTACCCCCGCACCAGCAGCAGCAGCACCAGCAGCAGCCGACGCTGCTGCTCCCGCAGGGAAAAGCAACGGCGTCTGCAGAAAAGCTGCTGCTGCTGCGGGAGGCTCCCCAAAGCTCCGCGCGATCCTCCAGCTCTGGCAGGGGGCCGCTCCCTCCAGCTGGTGCATCTCTCAACCCCCTGCCTTTCTCCCTCGCGTCGGAGAAAGAGAAGAAGAAACAGCAACAACAACAGCAACAGCGCGAGCTTCTTGAGCAGCTCATGGCTACGAACTTCAGCGTCGTGCCGCCCGCTCGGCCAGAACTCGTTGCGACTGCGCTAGAGGTTCTCAGCGACTTCAGCGGCTTCCTCAGACGGCCCTCTGCGCATGCAGATCCTGCGGCAGACCACGTCTCGTGGCTGCTAGCCAGCTCTGCCTCCAACGGAATCCTCGAGCAGACTGGGGAGGCGGGGGGACGGCCTCCTGTGCCTGCGAATTCCACCGCGCTTGCCTCCGCAGTGCATGCAGCAGAGGGAGTCGGAGGAGCCTTCGCTGCCCCGAGTGCTCGGCTGGGCTTGGGAACAGCGTCTTCTCCTCCGTCAGCAGCACGCATGCCCCCCTTTCTGGCAACCACTCTCCAAGGCTTCACGACGCAGGAAGGAGGGGGTGCTCCTCGCGGTGGAAGCGGAGCCGCTGCTGCCTTCGAAGACGCTGCTGCCAGGCCTGGAACTAACAGCCTCATGGACCTCATAAAGCGCGTGCGAGGGGAACGGCTAGCGCTGTGCATGCGCTCCTCCCTACAGCAAATTCCGCAGCAGCAGCAGCAGCGGCTACCCGACGACGAGGAGCAGGGGACAGGCAACGGCAGCCTCTGTGCAACAGAATCTGTCGTCACCTTCTCAGGCGTCCTCAGCGATCGTCTATGGCAGGGTGCAGACTGGTGGATCGTTCAGAAGGCTGCGGGGGGAGAGAACGCCAGTCAAATGCGTAAGGAACAACCCGATTCCCGTTGTGCATGACTTTAGGCTTCCTTCCTGCTTCTGCTTGCATGTCTGCCGCATAGTGTCTCATCACTCCTCAACCGTTCCCGCATGTATGGCCTTTGTAGTGGGCGGTCCAAGTTGCCTGGTTCCGCCTTCACACCTCCTCTTGAACAGGGCACCCCACAGACAGCAGCAAGAAAATACTGCCACTCGGAGGCAGCGTTTTCTCTCCCTGACTGCGTGCTCTGTTGAGGTGGCATGCCTCATCTGCTGCTGCTTATGTGCGTTTTGTGTTGTTCATGTATATATATATATATATATGTTTGTTGTGTATGTGTGTATATTGTACATGTATGTGTATATTGTATACACGTATGTCTATTGTATATGAATTTCTATTGTGTATGTATGTGTATATTGTACATGTATGTGTATATTGTATACACGTATGTCTATTGTATATGAATTTCTATTGTATATGTATGTGTATATTGTATATGAATTTCTATTGTGTATGTACGGTGTGTTGTGTATGTGTGGCCGGCCGACTGGTTCCGTGTGTGTGCGCTGTGGTAGTGACGGCTTTTCTGTTGTTGAGTCGATGTTTCGTTTTTGTGGGGCGTTCCAGAAGCAGCCGATGATCAGCTAGCTAGCTAGCTCGTTATCGCGTGTGCGTCTTTTTTTCTGAATTTTGGCGCGCTTCTTTGTGCTTGTTGCTGCTGCGAATGCTGTGCCGTGCGCGGCTGCTCGCACAGTCCTACGCAGGTGCAGGTGGGCAGCGCAGTGTTACGGGCTGTCTGCGTTGTTGCCTTCGCGCGTGGAGCTCCAGCAGCAAGAGATTGCGTCTGTGCAGCTTCTCGGCTTGGATTTTCTGTTGCAGTTGCAGTTGCAGCTGCAAAATTACCGGCGTCACTTCGAGCCGCAGGTTCTTTCGCAGGTCCTGTCGCTGTGGCAGTGCCTTGCGCAAAGGCTTTTGTTGCTTCCGCAGCCAGCATCAGCGTGTCTCCAAGACGTCTCTGGTGTCAGCAGAACACCCTCCAGCAGCGCGAGCATGACAGTTTCCAAAGACTGGAAGCGCCTCACCGTGCGCGCTTTGCAGCAGTCGATGGGCTTCCTGGCCGGTGTTTGCGGGGGTGAAGAGCAGAGGCTGCTGCAGGAGGGGGGAGAGGAACTGCTTTCTGGCGAGGCACCATCCTCCGACTGCGCCGCAGACGGCAGCAGTTGGGTGTGGGAGCTCTCTACCCTTTTAAGAGGCCCCTCTCCCCTCCACGACTGTCTGCGATGCTTTGTCTTCCGCTCGACAACTGCTGCTGCGAACGGCTATCTAGGGGTCCCCCTGCGGAGTCTCTTGCAGCTTTTGCGGAATGCAGACGCGCGTGCTGGCATTGGAGGGGGGGGCGAGCAGACAGAAAATTCTGCCGCTGTCGGCGAGGGAGAACATCTGGACACAAGAGCTACGCCTACCCTCCATCCCCTGGCGACAGGGGAAGCTGAGGAGGAGGAGAACGAGGTGCTGTGTAGCGTCGCTATCGGCATAGAGGCCCTCCTAGGGCACCTTCAGTCTGAGATCGTGCTGTACTCGGCAGTCTTCTCTCCCCTCTTGCCGCTTAAGGCTGCCGAGCATGCTCTTTTGATCCTCGCCGCTGCAAAAGCCGTCCTGCTGAGTATCGTTCCCCTAGTGCAACGCTGCACAGACAGCGCCGCTGAAGATGTCGAGGGAAGAGGCCTCCCCGCGAGAGGTGGGCGCGCTGTTCTCGGTGCTCTTGCTGCATTCGAGCGATTTGCAGATGAAGTAAGCTTTCGCTTTTCCCTGCCGCTCCTCTCGTATTTAGAGGGCCTACACCGCTCGCTTCCCTGATGCGATTTTCCGCTTCGAAGTTCATTCTCTTCTACTCGGCAGGCTCCCTCAGAGACAGCTTTGCTAAGGGGGGAAGAAGGGGGCTTTTAGACATGCGATGCAAGACGCACTTCCTTCGCTCACGGGAAGCCGCGGCTTTCTAGGGACTGTAGAGTGAAGCGTCACTCCCACTTTCCCGTGTGGCGTCGCACTATGGCAAAATCTCTTCCTTACCCCCCTCACATTTGGAGAGGCTTAGCTGCTGAAGCTGGCTTGTAGTAACCCTGAGATGGATCGGTGTGTGTGTGTGTTGTGTGTGTGTTGTGTATGTATTGTATGTGTTGTGTGTGTGTTGTGTGTGTATT